TTCCCCTCAAAAGTAAAATGTTTATTCTCATATTTTGTATCATTATTTGTATCTGAAATTCTGCCCTCTCTCCCTCTGAAATTGAAGTCATGAAGAATCCGGTGACTGACCAATATTCTGGCGGCTAATCAACAATTCGGCCAAATGTGAAGCTTTTGAAATGGTTTTTCTCCCTCGATCTGTATATCCGGCGAATGACCAAGGTTCGTACAGGTGTTTGTCCCTCTGAAATTGAAGTCTGAAGTCTCTGGCGAAAGACACTTCGTTTATGTCTCTCTTCCTTTGAAATTCAATTTTCCGTCTGAAATTGAAGCTTCGTTCAGGTTTGTCTCCCCAAAAGTAAAATGTTTATTCACAAATTTTGTATCATTATTTGTGTCTGAATTTTTTTTGTATCATTATGAAGAATCCGGTGACTGACAACTGAAAGTGAAGCTTTTGAAATGGTCTGTCTCCGTCGGTTTGTCTATCCAGCGAATGACCAAGGATCGTTCAGGTGTTTCTCCCCCTGTAATTGAAGTGTGAAGAATCCGTCCAAAGACCAAGCTTTGTTGACGTCTCTCTTCCTCGGAAATTTAACTCTCTCTCTGAAATTAAAGCTTCCAAGCTTCGTTCCTGTGTTTCTCCCTTTGAAATTGAAGTCTGAAGAATCCGGCTAAAGACCAAGCTTCGTTCACGTCTCTCTTCCTCTAAAATTCAACTCTCCTTTTGAAATTGAAGCTTCGTTCAAGTCTGTCTCCCTATAAAATTCAAGTCTCTCTTTGCTGATCAAGAATTCGGCCAAAGACCAAGCTTCGTACACATTGTCCATCTTCAAAGAAACATATATATTTGTACAAGAATTTGGTTTGTTTGTTTTTCTGCATTTTTTAAAATTTCAGTGAAGCTAAATTTTACTTTGTTTGTTATTCTGCATGCGTATCTTAAATTTGCAGAGTCTATAGTTTTATTTACATGTTATTTATAAGTCTATTTTACATGGTATAATCACTGAATTTGTGATATATTACTAATTTTGTTTTATATTTGGTTTATAAAATATAAAACCCCTGAATTATATACGATTCAATAAATGAAGACACAAGAAAACAGTGTGAGTGTGATAATATTTTTTTGCAGTGGACAGATGTGTTTACATATAATTTATAAGTCTATTTGAAATCTGATTATACTAATTGAAATAACCCCTGAATTAATTTTGATTCAATAAATTACGAGACAAGAAGACAGTGTGACTGTGATAATATTTATAGCAATGTAGATATGTGTTTACATATAATTTATAACCCTAATTTACATGTGATTATAATAATTGAATTTGTGATACGATGCAACAATTGAATTTATAACGGGTCTACAATGATACGATACAACAGTTGAATTAGTTGCACGTAATGGGCCAGATGAAAGTATCTCAGCAAGACGTACGTACCTGGAACAACATTTTCAATCTCGGGATCATGTTGCAAAGTTTATTAGGGGAGTGGTATGTTTCCTAAGATCATGTGTACTCTTTTACGCATTATGCTTTATTTATTTATATGCTCTAACATGCAAAAAAATTTGCACAGGTTGACTGGATTGTTTACAATGAAAAAATAGGGTTGGCTTTCCTCCATACAAATGGTTACACGTCCCTCTATCCTATGTGTATTGCATTATTGTTTTCCAATGAAGCGGAAAAAGGGGCGGGGATTCATTTATTAACGTTGTTGAGGACAAATTCAATACTCAGCACTTGTATCAAGTCTGCCCGTAGAAAAATGTTAACAATTATTGAGAGGACTTCTTCCTGCAATCGGTCATTCTTTATACATGTTACAAAATGTTATCCCGAATGCAACCATATTGATTGGCATTGCTGGATCCTTAATGAGGATTTGATCAATTGTAATCATTGTTGGTGTGATTTAAATATCACGGTTTTGCAAGGTCGTATTTCGCCATATCACATAGAAGGATTATTTGGGTAGTTATGTAATTTGAATGGGTAACACATAGTGGACTTTCCTTGCCATTTCAGAATGGACTATCTTCATGTATTCAAGTATATGAATTATAGAATAATGCATGATGAAAGTGATGTAGCAAAATATAATATTTGTAATGGTTATATACTTTTTGTATGGAGATGTTATTTTGAAAGTGACATCATAACATTATAATAACAAGTGCTACAAGTATATTGTATATCATATAGGTATATATTTTAAACACGTGTCACAACAATTTGTCAAATGTACATAACATAACATAACATATGTCACAACTTTATATATGTTTTAAATATATATCACAACTATATAACATAAGTAAAATATTACAAGAACACCATAAAGAACCACAAAACACTTACAAAAGTTATTTAATTCATCCACTTCTAAACTTCCAAGTCACAGTAGTAGATGGATCAAAAATAGGTAGCTAATGGATAACCTATTTATTGTGTTTCAAAGAAAACAATCAACGTTCTACAGGTATATTTCAATTCAAACATCTTCGCCATATCTGAATCGCTGCTGAGCACCATTCTGTCGACTGTGTTAGGGATAGAAGCATATACATTCATGGCAAAAGGATGTGGAATTACACGAATGAATGTCAGTCCACACAAATCTTTTAAAAATTTCTGGTAACCATAATTTTGGGGGTCCACATTTCTGATTTCACCAATATGCGGACCATAGTGAACAAGAATGGAAACCATGCCGCCAATGCAATCTGAAAAGTAAGTACACAAAACTAAATTCTTAAATGTTTAGACTGAAAAGTATAATTTATATATGCACAATTAAGATACAAATATTTTACTTAACATAGGAAGACTCACCAACTTCCCGATGAAGCTGCCTTCATATTTCTCAGGTTGCAAGAAGCTGCCTTGAATTTTTATGGTTGAATAATATATATTCAGTAAACTGAATAGTAATGAGTAGTTGGGCACCATTAACTTTTCATTTATACCCAATAACTTCATTGAATGCATCATTTTCACTCTGTTTTGCCGAACACCTAATTGAATGCAACTGCATCTTTCCTTTTCCATGTATTTTACAAGCCTTTTGTAGTTCCTATAAGGTACTTACTTTCATGCGTACTGCATAAAATATGAAATATGAAATATGAAATCTTAGCATTTTGGAAAATGATGGTGACGAAGCCCTCGGCAGGTCCGGCAGCACCACCTTGTAAATATGAAGGGAAGGAAGCATGATGCGAATGTAAGTAAATATGAAGAAGGGCTGATGCGAATGTAACATCCGTTTTCTTGTTCCCAACTCTTTTGTACCTGTTTTGTAGTTCCCACAATAGTTCCGACAGCCCCATTTAATTTCACTTTAACTAAAGCTCTCTGTTTTTTCTTGTTTATGTTCATTGATTTCCCGGAATACAAACCCACTTTGACAACATATATTACATTAAATAAAAATATTATTTTATTGTAATTAAAACTAATTATTTAAACCACTTTGAAACTGATGACTCAGCCTAGAATTTGAACCGTTATACATGAACCATTAGAGAGCCATTATAAACACACAGACACATACACAAGTATATGTATATATATGTATATATATATATATATATATACAAAGAACCAGTAACAAAGCACCACCGGAGTACGTCGAAATACATACCCTTAAAACCTTCCAATCATCAGTCTTATTCCACTTTTCTCTAACAAAAGAGCTGTCTAAGGTGTGTACTTTGTTTACTGCGTACTTTTACCGTCTTTAAGGGCGTTATCAAGCAGCACTGGAGTACGTTGTAGGGGTGCTGTTGACCATCCAATTTGTTTATGTGGAGAAAGGACTCGTTTGCATGTTTCAAAGACCAAAGAGAATCCTAGGAGGCGATTCTTTAATTGTGCAGAAAGGCGTTATTATTATTTTTTTTTTTTGTGGATCGATCCACCATCCACGACGATTGAAAATGATGTTGCTCGTGCAATAACAACTACTGCAGATGCCGATCTTCTAAATTTACATTTGTCAATCACAAAAGCTTTGTTTATTTTTTTCCTTGCAAGCCTGATTTTTTTTGGATTGGCAGTGATTTTACTCATGCGGGTGTTGTTGCGTAAACGAACTATTCGGATTCATGTCAAGAAGGAAAGCATATGTTATGCCCAATTCTTTTGTAACACATATTAGTAAAAAACTGTGATGGGTATTTAAGAGTTACCTTCAACTTCGTAATTAAAAGTTGTGATGCATATTAACAAAGAATTCATATATAATATAGAATAACATTGTAACACATATTAGTCAAAAATTATGATGCGTATTTCACAGTTACCTTCAACTTCGTAATTAAAAATTGTGATGCATGTTAATAAAGAATTCATATATAATATAGAATAACATTGTAACACATATTAGTCAAAAATTATGATGCGTATTTCACAGTTACCTTCAATTTCGTAATTAAAAATTGTGATGCATGTTAACAAATAATTGATATATCATATCACTAAAAAATTATAATTCGTATTTCATGATTCCTTCTACGTTCCCTTCAACTTCCTTTGCTCTACATTGCACGTAAAAGCTGTGATGTATGTTAAGATAAATGTTATGTTATATACAAATATATTGTAACACATAGTACTCAAACATTCTGATGTCTAATAAATGAAATTTGTATAACAATCCTACAACATTTCAGAAAATTTGCCAGCCATCAATTTTGGCACATTAACACAAATGAATTGTACGAAATTAACACAAATTAATTGTTCGTTTGGGATCCACGAATAGATGACAGGATGTACAAATTAACTTTTTTTTCATTCCTATCATCATCCAATAGCTGGAGTAGTATTTCAAAACGCATCGCCTTCGCGTCTGTCTGTAACATTATGAAAAGTTTAACAGTTTGAGTTAATTCATGATAAAGTAAATGTGAAATCTAACCACTAATGTAATTACATGCATTATATTGTATGAATAAGTTATCACATTTTTTACTTACATGTTTGAAAGTGGGGGATAAACATTTCCCATTTCACCGCTCCATAAACCTCATGACAAATAGTTCACATGATTCTCTACAATGGCAATGTTTTTTAATTGAAAGTAATTACGTATATAAATGTATAGGCCTGTTTTCTAATTAAATACATAAAGCTTATTCTTACCCATCTGGTTGTCTGGGTATTGCCTTGGTGTGTTGGGTTGAAATTTTGTGAAATCTTCCTTAAACACGATCCCAATAAACTATTTCTGTTGTACATACCAATATTTTATAAATAATAATTGTTCATTCCTAATCAATTACATCAAGACAAACTAAATATATGAACCAACAGTTTAACATAATCCATATATTTACGGGGCCCTTCCAATGAACAAAGGCAATCAACCATCTTCAGACGGTTGCCAATAAACAGTAACCAATGTCCTTGTATGCATGCAGGGAAAAATAACTGCAACAAGGTAAGTATACAGAGTTAATGAATAGTACAAGTAAGGTTTACAAGATTATGGAGTAAAGAAAAGGGAAAAACACACTAACCAGTTTACTGTCTCTGCATCAAGTAGGAAACAGTACTCACCATGCTCTTCAAGCCGACTGATGCGTTCAGCTTTTTTCTTTATTTTCCTTACATTCAATTCAATCATTAACTGGATGGCTCTACTACTAAAGTAGTACCTGTCCCCCTTGGATCCTTGGTTGTTAGTTAACATATTCCCAAAGTAATTAATTACCTGTAAAAATTAAAGATTTTTTAACGTACATGTTAAAGTAATTCAATTAACATTAAAACATATGTATAAACAATATACAAAGTTAATTTAACTCACATCATCGGACACCCAGTTATCAGCAAAGACAGTATGAATCTCATGGCAAGATACGGTAATACCGTACATGGAAAGAATTGTTTCATCCCTGTCCAAAGTGCAATCATCAATTCAGTTTATGATGATGAAAATATATTACTAACCTGATTAATTTAGTTTGTGATGATCAACTAGGTGACAGAAAAGTGGTGGTTCAGATTTCCATAATCAAGCACAATAATGGTCTGAATTTACAAGAGGTTGTTGTAACCTGTTTTCATCTAAGTAATATGTTGTCTTAACAAGGGTATTTCAGTCATTTTGTGTACAACCTCAAGGGTATCAAGGGTATTTCAGTTGGCAAAGCTAATTTAAATCACTTCTATGAAGGTGCATTGTGTCAAATATGCTGAAAATTAGTATTTCTCCTGTATTCACTACAAGTGACAATTGAAGGGCATTTTTGGAAGTTCATGAACAATTCTGTTCATAAGACTGTACAATGACAATTCTGGAAGTTCATGAACAATCGTGTTTTTAATCTCTGAAATTACTATGAAGAGTGCATTGATCCACTGAAGTCTAAAATGAACCTGTAAAGTTAATTTTCTGGTGCAAATCTGAGGCTGCTGAAGGTGAAATCAAGTTGTGGCTACCTCTGGTGTTAAAACAAGGTTCAAGCATGTGTGGTTGTGGTTTTTACATCTGCAGAAGGTGCTTTCTTGTACCAAAATGAGCTGAAGTAAGATTTTAAATCTCACACCTTCATTATAGCTATTTTTCTGGTTTTGTCACTTAATCTGAGCTTATATTGTTTGTATCTTGCTATGAGCTGCATGTTATTTGTGATACCCATCAATTCTGAGACATGGGTTGATTAGGCCCAAGCCCAAACCCAAGGGAATATCAAACAATTAATATACAAACGAACACAGAATACAAAAAAATTTAAGAAAATGAATAATAAAGCTGAAAGAATTATTAAATATAAAATCCTCCAAGGTTAAAGATGAAAATAATCCAACTCTCCAAAACCTCCAAGAGTACAACTCGGGAATCCATCTAATGGACCCCTAAATAAAATCTCAAATGATAAGTAAACAACTGAAGGTAAAATCTAAATCTAAAATATGGAATGAAATCCTACGTCGTCAGTAGAGTGAATGACCGTCTCTATTCAGCCCGATCCAGCCCTAAGACTGGAACCGTCTGATACCTGAAAATATAATAGTGAGTCAGGCCCACGAACAAGTTCTAATCTAACTGCAATCCATACAGTGACCCAAGACACAGATACATCCTAGATATCTCACAATATCTATTTAGTCTATAAATATATATATATATATATCCACACTAAGGGACATTCACTGAACTATAAAGGGGGTCTCAACTTGAATAGAAGGTAACATGCAAAAATACACCTAAAGGTGGGAATGAATACCTAGACCTAACAGGGTACACCTCAACCTATCATAGCCACGCATTCACTGCATATACGCACCCTAACCAACGAGCCTGAGACTCAAGCTCATCTCGTGGTACCATAACCACATATTTAAAGTCCATCCAAAACTAGAGTATGTCATTTAATTATATAATGATCTGACATAAGATTTATAATCTAGTTAGTCACTCAACTTATTCAGTTCATCTGAAATAACTCCAAACAACAATTAATCCGTGTAGTCACTCAACTTACTTAGTTGATCTGACCTAAATATAAGTAGGATTCAATTTTTACAATCCATTCCCTTATTCCAATAGGGTAGGTCTCAGCGTTTTGAACTAAACCATCCCTAGTATGCCACCATCCCATACCGGTGCATACAATCCACAACATCTAGATAATTGACAGAATTTAATATAATAATTCAGCAATTATAATTCAACACATAAATCCAGATAATTGACAGAATATCAGTTAATAATTCCTCAATTAAAATCCAGGTTAACTTCCTTGTAATTAACAAAATATATGTTATTAATTCATCAATTAAATTCAGGAGAAATATAACAAAATCTAATATGTATAAGACCCTATTATGCATCCAAAACAACTTTAAAAATCATACTTCAGTCATCTAAGTTGCAAAAATAAATTTAAACAACTAAATATTTTTTATCCATCGATAGTGTGCGACATTGCTTAAAACTTCTACACTGTGAATACCATTAGCATATAGAGATAAATTATGCAGTGTGGGTTCTAATACAACATAATATAATGTTTAGAGTCCATGCTGCAGTCCGTTAAATTGTTAAAACAAGATTAAAACAATTTAATCTTTTCTATCCGTTAACAGCGTGCAAAGTTGCTTATTTTTTATACTGTTAAATCTATTTGCACTATGGAACAAATTAGGAAATTAGAGAATTTAAAATCCCATGAAATTACATTTAAAATCCTCAGTCCAATCCTTGAAACAATCCAGAATACCAAATTCATCCAAAACAGTGCCCAAAACGGATCCAGAACGCGTCAAAACAAAAGAGCTTGCTCTCAAAACCACAGAGCAAGCTCAATGGACCATGGAGCCGGCTCCCTAGCCCTTGGAGCCAGTTCTATGAAGAGGGGAGCAGGCTCCTAACCTCCTGGAGCCGGCTCTCTCCCTTTTTGAGAACACTGATCCGCTTCTGACCATCTGCTTCGTCTCCGGCCTCTTCCTACCCTTCTATTCTTCCTTAAAACTGATCTTAACAGTCTAATATATATCCAATATCATCACAGTCCTTTGTTTATAACAGTGAGAATTAATAACCGCAATTAAAACAGCTACTGACTTGTTATGCCTTAAAAACAGACAACGAATCCCAATCTTGCAAAAATTATTTCAGATAAAATTTAAACACATACAGATGTTCAATTTAGCATATATCATGTATGCATGACTCAATTAATGTTCCATTAAATCCCTAGAGATCATCTAGGTATGCACAGAATACAGGCCAAGGGGAGAGAGGAAGAAAAGAACTTGCCTGTGTAGTTTTGGAATCAAAACCTTGTCGTCGTCTTCCTAAGCTTTCCGATGACGTCCGTTTACTGTCAACTCAACCTCCTACTGCCCAACCTTCCCTCCTCCTAGGTTTGACCTTTAAGCCATAGTCGAAACCCTCACCAAACGTGCTCTGTTTTCTCAAAATCTCTCTTTGTATCTTTGGTACGTGAGTAGGGTTTTTCCAACCCTTGTTGCAGACTATAACAGTATACTTATAGGCAAAACAAAAACCTAAATCTAATTAAAACCCTAAATTGAACCATATTCGGCCCATACGTGATTCTTGAAAGAATATAACCTACTTGTAACATTATATCGTAAAACCCTAATTGAAACTAATTAAATCAACTAATAAACCATATAACCAATTAAAAACAAGTAATTCCAATTAATCAATTTAAAGAAAAATAAAAATACAATTAATCCATTAATGAAAATAAAAACACAATTAATCAATTAATGCAATTAAACAATCAATTAAACACATAATGATATTTAAATACACAATTAAATGTAAATAATTAAATAAAATAAATAATTAAATAATTAAACAATTTAGCAAATAAACAATTAATCAAACAAAAATGCAATAAAACCATAATCAAAATGCCGAGACTATCATTTTAAAATTAGGTGTATTACATTTTTCATCCTAGCAAGTTTCCATTACTGATTAAAGGCTATTGAAATTCAAGATTTACCGGAAAACTGATTATCTTTGTGGTTGACCGATTAAACCTCACATTACACAGGGTTTTAGGCCTATTTAATGTGTTTTGAACTGAGAAGACATTATACCTTGCTATTATTGATGAGATTTCTGTTTGAGCATGTGTATTAACATGAAATATGACTGAGGGTGTCTAGTACAAGACAGTGAAGCTGTGAATTTACATTTTAGTCCCTAGTTGCAGAGTTTTTGCAGAAACTGGTTAGGAACAGATTTTGGGGCTGAAATTTAATTCATAAAGAAGTGCTCGACCTTTAAGTTTTGTTTCAAAACATAAACCAAGTGTAGGAGAATATTTTCCAGGCCTCACACATTGCACAATACCTTTTCTACCCTCAGTTCAAAGGGATCATAGTAGCTACAAAACTGACCTAACCCTAGTTGTTTTGTTTCTGATTTTGTGCTAAAGTTTGATTTTCTTGCTGTGCTTATTGAGAACATTGTTGGTGCAAGTTTATTATGATTATTTGAAGTTGTGACAACCTATAGTTGTTCATGGTTTAGGGGTTTTCAACTTGGTGTTGTGACACCTCATTGTAAATGGTAGTGAGCCTTTGTACATCTTCTGTTCATGTGGTTTGCTTAACTTAACTTGCAATATATATCCTTCTCAGTTTAGCTTCTACTTAAGTGAAAAGAAGAAGAAAGTTGTAAGCAGACCAATCTGCCACTAACCACAACAAAGCTTAATATCATACTCATGCAATCCATTTTGCACAAATATTCTGCTATATATATGATCCATAAATCTATATATATTAAGGTAATATTAGCTCAATTATAACTCAATGTACCTTTGATATATACTACGCATTCAAATTAAATAACCAGCCTAATAAAAGTTGGTGTATCGGAAAACTTACGATTTATCCGGCTCAACATTTGCCACATATGTCAACAACATGTTTTGCTCCAGAGTTAGACTAACCATTTTGCCGCCTTTGTAAACACATGGACAGAAAAAAATATTTCTTCAATTTCAATTTTCTCTTTCCCTTTCCCTTTTTTCCTTTCACATTACTGGTTCCCTCTTCAACATTTCTTAAATCAATAACCACACGTTGTTCATTTTTTTTCCTCCGCACTTACCACCACCTCCTGCTTAATACTAAAAAAACCCTCATTTTTTTCACCCTCCGCATCATTGTACTCATAGTCACTTGTTTCATTACTTTCCTCACTCCCATGCCATTCATCTTCACTATTATCTGAACCACTTCCCTTACTCACTATTTCATCACCACTACTACAGTCTTCATCATCATTTTCATCATTCATTGTACAATCCTTACCACCTCTGCTATTATCTTCAATTGCTTTCTCAACCGGTTCCACATCCCTATCCTTACCACCTCTATTATCATCTTCACATTCCCCACATATACTGCTATCGTGGCCATTGTTCTCCCCACATAGTTTTGCTTTTTCCCTAATTCCACGCTTCTTCAATGAAGTTAACAATTTTCTTAGACTCCTCTTTGAATTTCTTACATTAAATTCTGTTAATGCAATGTCCATCTTCACTTTTTTAATGCAAACCTGCGTATATACAGTTCAATGACATCCGTAAATTTTAAAACAAATATTTTACATACAAGAAATGCATTTCACTAAGTAAATCATTACCTCCATCTCTGAGTCAGAACATTCATAATCATCATATTCAAACATCAATGAATCAGACAGAGAAGAAGCCGAGCTATCTTCGGCTGCACCATCATCACCACTGCTTCTTCTACATGTCTTTACCTTAAGAAGAGCCAACTATTCAAATTCCATATGAAAATACATAAGTCAGTCATTACATTATCATATAACAAAATAAATTACATGTTCATAACAAAAACTTTAATTACCTGTCCACGACCAAAACCTCCGTTACCCAATTCCCATCGTACGCGAGACCGAAAAAAATCTGTGGTCCAAAAATCAAGCGCTTTAATATCTCCCGCTGGGTAACCTCTATATTGTGTCTCACAATGCATCATATAAAGTCGCTATTTTCAATTACAACAAACAAAGTAAATAAAAAGGAAATCTAAAAAAAACAAAAAGATAATCTGAACAAAAGAAAAGCAAATGTTGAAAGCAATGATACCTGCAAAAACATTAAACAACCACCATAGGACTTTTTCAGCTTCCCATTTGTACGTGGTTTCATAGTTCTCAACAAACAATTACGGACATAGCCACACCAGTTGTAAGTACTGATATCATTCACATTATCCACACTTTTCAATAAGCCCCAATAGCATGTATTTCTGCCAGTAAGACTTAGTAAAGTGGAGCAAGCAAAGAGGACAAATGCTCTCTTGAATTCGTCACTTGCCTTTAAGTTTACAACCTTTTCAAACAATAAGTCATCATGAATTCCACCAGTGTCGAAGTAACCACCTTCGTCTATCCACTCCGCATCGTAGAATTGGACATTTATGGGAATATTTGGAACTCCAAATGGAATCCCAAGAATCGAGTGCACATCGGTTGAATATATCGACATAAAGCCTCCCTCCTCAAGTTTTATGCAAGAATTATCAGGGTCATAATTCTTTAGTAAGTACATGTATAAGTCCCGAGACATATATGTACACTTCAGCTTCAACAAATTTCCGAATCCAATGTCCTCCACAGCTTTTCTCTTATCCTCATCAAGCTGTGAAACAACTTAAATAAACTTTGAAACAGCGCATCTGTGCCGCGCACCTAGATGAGCAATTTTTTAGGCCTTTCTTTTTTGCTTCAAAGCCATACCATTAAAAAACAAACATCATGCATATAATCTTTTCAGACAACTTAGCCATAAAATTAAATCATTACAACTAAATATAATTACCTTCTCTTTTATGGGAGCTCTTTTTTCTGGAGCGAGCTTCTCATACTTTTTCATTAATCTTTTTCTTTCCCTTATCCACGATTCTTTATCATTAGCCTTCATACCATCCCATGTCATTTTGCAAGCACTGTGCACTGCATTCATTTGAGCCTTCGACATCCTTCCAAGTTTGTTATTAGCTTTATGATACTTGGCTATATAGTCAGACCTGTAATCATAATAAAGAATTTATTATCAACTTTTTAGACGACTCAATAGTTATTAAATGAATATATATTGCATAAACGAACTAGCTTTCCTACCATGTCCAACAACAGAAGATAATATGCAATACAAATTATCTACTAATTATGTTTTAGGCCTACCTCTGTGTTCTTCAGGTTTTAAAGGGAATAGTTGTAAAGATTTGGTTGATAAGGTTATTAAACAAATTTCTCATTGGAATACTAAGCTGTTGTTTCTTGCTGCTAAGTTGGAGTTGATTAAAATAATGGTGAATCCTATCTTTCTTTACTGGTGTAATAGTTTTAATGTCTCTGTCGCTGTGACAAATCAAATTCAATAATTATGTTGAGATTTTTTGTGGGGGAGTACTGTTCATGCTAATAAGATACATCTGTTGAAGTGGGATATTGTTACAAATACAAAAACTGAAGGAGGTTTTGGCCTTAGGAAGCTGTCTGATCTTGAAAGAGTGTCTAGAGTTGTGTTGGCTTGGGACTTTTTACTCAGTAAGGATAGGCTGTCGGTGTTTTGGTTTCGTCATAAATATTGTGCTAACTCAATTGTCTAGAATGTGGTACCAACAAATTCTAATTCTGTCATTTCAAAGGCTATTGTGGAGACTAGAGTAACTATGTTGACATTTGTTTCTTATCAAGTTGGAAGTCAGGAAATTATATTGTTTCTTAACCCTTGGAGTGAGGGGTTAACAATTACACAAAAATTTGATCATACGCTGCCTAGAAGGTTATGTTTACATAGGGATGTTTTAATGCAAAGTATTATACTGACTGGAGGCTGGAATTTTGCTCTGTTGGAAGATGATTTGCTTCTTCCTTTCAGGGCTTATTATCTTGACTCTATCAGTATTCAGTCTAAACCACATAAACTGATATGGATTGCTGAAGTCCTACATTGGAATATGGAATTGTTTGCAGTTGTTAACACAGTTTGGGAGCTTTTTCTCTGGTTTAATTCTCAGTACCAGAGTTCAACGATTCTGAAAAGTTTATTTACAACATCATTCTAGGCTATTTGGAAGGAAACAAATGCTACATTACATTTGGATGTTTGCACTCTTTCTAATTCAGTGGCCACACACATGTTTTTTTATGTTGTCACAGTACAAAATGCTTGTTAACAAGATATTACTATATAAATTGTGGTTTTTTGTTGCTGTCTTTTATTTTTGCTTTGCTGAATTGGAGATTGTAGCGGACCCTATTTTTAGCTGTTGTTTTGTTACCATCAACTGATTACAAGGCTTTATAAGTAAAATTTGTGATAATGTTAGTAAAAAGTTGTGATGGTTTATTAATAAAGATATTTACACTTGTTTTTGAAAAGTTATGTTTTTCAGTTGAAGTATGTTTGGATATATTTTGTATGACATGTTTATATTAGTGGTGCTACATGTTGGAAAAGTGTATGAATGTGTGGATATGCATTATATTACTCTATCTGTTAAAATCAGGTGAAGATGTTAGGTTAAAGATGTGATATTTTATTTATTAAACCGTTGACACTTGTGATGTTTTGTTACCACGAACTGATTACAAGGGTCTGCATTTTATGTTTTTTGAGTTGTTATTTTTGGATTCATTGGTTTCCTATTTCACTTTCCATTTTACAGCTTCATTTTTCATTTCATATTTCTAAAAAAATAACAATCACAAATTCTTTCAACATCTGTGTATTATGAATTATATAGTACGTGAACAAATCTTCCTAACATGTGTATGTGTATTATACTTCTTATTGCAATAAATAAGATACCCTTCATTTTTTATTTCATATTTCTATAAAAATAACAACTACAAATTCTTTGAATATCAATGTATTATGAATTACATACCATACTAACATGTGTATTTACAGTTATACAATTAAAACGAACACAATGTGAATTTCTAGTTCTACAAATAAAATTAAAAACACTAATTTATTCAATCAAATTTTATATAAACAATCAATTTTTGTAAAACCTAAATACTAAAATAAATGCAATTGTGGATATAAATTAATTTCAACAGCTTAAGGAATATTTACCTATATATCATGAACACTGAGGCAGGCGGTTTCACCAATGCCTGCTCCCCACTTGTAATATCTCCTTTGTTCATTGTTTTAGATACCGATTTCTTTTCCAATTTCTTCTTCGCTATAGTTTTTTTCCTCGCCATTATATTTTCCCAAATGCTTAAAACCCTTGCAAAATCATAGGATTTCTTCTTTGACGGAATAAGATGCAACAACAACAGCAACTGCTATTAAACAAACGAAAGGAAAGACGGACAAATGAAAATACGATACTGTCTCAGAGAGAAAATGAGACGAACTAGAGGAGGGAGGGAGGATGAAAGAGGGAAGACAAGGTGAACCAAGAAGAAGATAACAGAAGCTGAGGAAGTAAAGTAAAAACTGACTGACCAAAGGGTTCGGACGGGAAACCAGAGGACGAGGAAGGAAGAAGAACAGAAGCTCGAAGAAGAAGAAGAATACGAAGAGAAGAGTAGTAGTCAAAGTAAAAAGTGTAATTTAGGCCCACGTATAATTTTGGTAAGTATGTATTCGTATATGGTAAATATGTATTTTGTCTGTAGTATATGTACATGGTAAAAATAGTAAGGTTAAAAACTTAATACTGACTTGGCGCTTCGTCATCGCTGACAAGGCAATGACATGGCAAGATGAACTGACGTGTCTTCATCCCAGCCCTTAGACCTGCCATGGACACCATCCAGTGAGAGGTGCGATGGAGAGGATTATAGCCCACTATGAGAAAAAAAGCAAAACATATGGTGTCCCTACGGAGATAATGGCTACTGGGCTATATGGGTAAAAAGAGAAGGTGAGGGGTTTTTTGGTCCAATTATTTTTTAAAGGTTAAAGGGCAATAATGTTAATTAGCTATGAAATGTGACCATTTGGGGTATCTTTGTAAACTAGTTTGAAGGGTGTGATTATTTAAAAAATGACTAACTTTCCTCTGCTTTCGCAAACCTCAACCCGAGTAATTATATATATTGATGTGCTTTTATCAGGTAGTTTCATCGCCGACAATGGAGGAGATGACTGACCCTCCAGTCATTAGGATTGACGATTCTGATGACGATGAAGAAGATCAAACATCCAATCTTTACGATGATGATGAAAAAGATGAAACATCCGATCTTGATGATGAAGAACACAACAAGATCAAGAATTTCATGAAAGACTTGCCGAGTGAAGTGTCTTTCCGGCGCCCGTCGTCGAAAAGAGAGCTGTGGACATTTTGGAGTAAGCCAACTCTCTCTGCTTTTCTCTATCTCTCTGTCTTTTTGTCACCCTTATTTCTGATCTTTTTTCTATTATTAACAGAAAAATGAAATATTTATATAGTTGGCATGGAAATTTAATTCAATAGCAGCTTAGGCTTAAGAAATTCAATCTATATATAATAATAATAATACTAATAATGTTGTTGGATTGAATGGTGTAGGTGGTGGTAGTATTTCCGATTCGGCAACTCACACTCCCACCACAAATCAACCCATCATTACAGACATCATCAAATCTGCCCTTCTACACTTTATTCAAAGTTATTGTATGGGTAACCTTCTAATTCAGTTTTGGGCACCCATCACAGCAGAAACAGGGTGTGTCCAGCTTGTTACTTCAGACCAACCTTTTGCTGTGTCTTATGAACTTGATGAACGACTTCTGAATTATAGGAAGCAGTGCTTGCAATATAAATTTAATGTGGATGGGGAACAACTAGAACACCTTGGAATCCCTGGTCGTGTGTTCCACCAAAAATGGCACGAGTGTATACCAGATGTCCGACATTACTCTACCAAAGAGTACCCACAGCGTGATTTCGCTCTAACTTGCCATATTTCAAATTGTTTTTCTTTTCCAGTGTTTCAAACCTCTTTCCAGGATTGCGTTGGAGTAGTTGAGTTTGCTGCAACTAGCAATTACGATTTATACTTTACGCATGATTGGTTTTTGAAAGATGAGCTCAAGGTTTGTTGAACCCCTAATTTGTACTTATATTCTTCTAATTAATTTGATTAGGACTTAGGTGATCGGATATGAATGCCATCATATTTGGAGATAGATATGATTTTTCCTTTTCATTAACTTAAACCTTACCAAAATTATTCACTATCTCTTGTAGCGGGCGGGTCTGGAAACTTGTGTGTGTGATGGTGTGATTCGTAAGGTTAGTTACAGTTTGTAATATCCAAATGTTAGATTTGGTACTCTTTTTTCCTTGTTTATATGTTGTCACTACCATGTTCTCATGCACAAATGTTTATTCCAAACAACACTTGTAATCCAGTTTCAGGATCTATTTATAGATGATGGAGATATATTGGCTGAAATCGACAAAGGGTTGGAAGTAGTTTGCCAAACTCATAACTTACCTTTCGCTAAGACGTGGATTCCGTGCAATCATTTCAATGGAAGCTATACGGGACAAGTCTTTCACCGTGAATGCAAAGCATCTTATCTTTTAGATGATCATTTGGAGGATTTCTACTATGGGCAGAATAACTTACAAAAGGGGCAGGGAGTTGTTGGGAGTGCATATCAGTCGCTATCAGTCGCATAAACTATGCTTCTGTAGAGATATAACACAATTCAGCATAACTGAATACCCCGACCTGCCCCTTGCGCGCTCTTTTGGATTAACAGGTTGTTTCGCGATTTGCTTGCAAAGTATTTGTGCCAAAGATTATTATTACACATTAGAGTTTTTTCTGAATCCTAAAAACACATATGGTGAAGACCCAACTACCTTCTTGTGCTCAATATTAGAAACAATGAAGCAACATTTCTCAAGCTTTAAGCTTGCTTCTGGTGAAGAACTCGGGAAGGAGTTATCAATTGAATTTATTAAGCCTCGCCTGAATCAAGAGCCTGCTTCTTTTCAATGCCGAAGTACTTCATCTCCATCTAGTAGTCCTGGAGTCTTACAAGAGCAAAATAATGTTCCTGTTACTCGTTCAGATGATGCACGCATGAATCAGGAACCTGTTTCTTCTCAATGCCAAAGTACTATATCTCCAGGGCTTGAAGTCTCACATAATGGGCAAGAGACGAAGCAGCCACATCCACCAGATCAGCAACAAATAGATGGATTTGAAGTTGATGTTATCAACGGTGGAAGGAATGTTACTATAGAGCAAAATAACATTCTTGGTTCTTCTTCGGATGATGCAAGTTCAATCACCTTTGAGGAAATGAAAAAACATTTCGGAAAGAGACTCGAAGATGTTGAACAGATTCTTGATGGTAAGCTTACACAGTAATTGCAATTGTTGCTCCTGACCTTGCCCTTTTTATTTTCTAATTTTTGAGTTTCTTCTTATACCAACAAAAGTTTATTCTTTTTATTTTCAAGTTTTTGATTTCTTATTTTTGCAGTGAGCAGATCTACAAGTAAGCGTAGATGCAGAGAGAATGGAATCATCCGCTGGCCAAATGTTAGGGGGAAAAAAAAGTTTAAAGGCTCTACCTCTAGGCGAGACCCTCCATATTCTGATTTGCATGCTAAGAAACTCGTGGATACTGATACTCACATGACTCCACTTGTAATACCACCACCAGAAGCAAGGACAATGACTATAAAAGCAACATATATAGGTTCTATGATAAAATTTCAACTACCTCTTACTTCAGGAATGGCACGGTTGGAAGAGGAAGTCTCCAAGAGGTTGAAGAGGTTGAAGTTAGATTTTGGAACTTATAATATCACATATAATGATGGTGAGGATCAAATTTCATTAGCCTGCAACGAGGACTTGCATGATTGTATGAATGCTTCAAATTTATTAGGCATGAATACAATCAGAATGTTAATTGAGCCAAACTAATTATACATGTTGTACCTAACAATTTGTTGGAATCAACTTTCTATTCAATAAATATTCATATATATTTTTTCTTTTCAGCAAGTAACTTCCTGTTTTGCAGGAAACAAAGCTAGTAGAATTCCAATAAGTCTGGATCACAGTTCCTACCTACTATAGGGATATAACTTTTATTTAAATAATAAACGGTCTAGACTCCTGACTCTTTTTCCTGAGCTGAAAATCTGTATTCAGATTGTCATAAAATCCAGTAGGAGCCCTTAGGTTGGATTTCACATACAACCTCCACTTTTTCCTTCCTTCCCATCCCTCCCTCAAACTCCATCTTTAGTCATTTGGTTTCCAGATTCTTCCCTATTCATAACATATCACGCCGGACATTACCAACTTTCACTCATGCGACAAATGAAGAAACAAAGAAAGATAACAAATTTCTTGATAGACTGAACATCAACCTATATATGGCATATCAGTGGAACTCAGTTTCTTAATAAGTTTTTTTCAGTAACTTACTTGTGATTTCTAGTAACAGTGGTAGGCTGCAAATGAGCCTAGCCGAGCTCGGGCTCCGCTCGCGAATATTTTGCCAAAATGGGGCTCGGCTCAGCTCGCTTTGCCCAAATACAAACATTCTCGTATTTTATCAAGAGATTCATAAAAGTAAAGTTTGCACCATGGACAAAGTTGAGATATATCAAATCTCTAATTCATATATATAAACACATATTCATGTCTATGTATAAACAAAATTCATGTATATATAATTGTAAATATGTATATTATATATATATATATATACCTTCTTGGAAGTTCATCCATTGTTCTCCTTCGGTCTCTATCGCGATCTCACCCCATCTTCTAACAAATCAGAGGCTGAAGAAGAGAGAAGAGAGAAGTGAGATGGGGAACTCCATGAAGAGAGACGATAGATGGGGATGAAGTCTTGCCGGACAGATATGATGATGAGATAAGAATGGGGCTGACAGGTGGGACTTGTGTGGAGAGATTTTAGGGTTTTCTAATTCAATGTGGGCTTATAAGTTGGACTTTGTAAGCAAAAGAGTTTATTTATTTATTGTATGGGCTTGACATTTTGATATGGGCTTAACAAGAAACATTAATGGTATCATTTATTTGGGCTGTCTATAAATTAAATAAAATATTTTGCTAAACGAGTTTCTTCACGAGCTTACCGAGCCGAGTCTAGTGGTGTTCAAGTTCGGCTCGTTTATTAATTGATCTTGAAAATCGAGTTCAAGTTCAGTTCATTTAACGCACGAAATTATCCATTGAAATTATTAAACCTCACATGAATCAAAAACCTACTTCTTTTCAATGCCAAAGTACTATATCAAATCAACAACTAATTGTTGAAGTTGATGAGATAAACAATGGAAGGAAAGTTGTTAATACGGCGCAAAATAGCATTCATGTTTCTAGTTCAAACGAGGCTTGCACGAATCAAGAACTTGCTTCTTTTCAATGCCAAAGTACTGGATCTCCGCTTGGGTCTGGAGTCTTACGCAATGGACAACAGACGATGTAGCCACATTCATGAAATCAACCACTAATAGTTAATGTTTCTGATATCAATAATGGAAGGAATGCAGAGCTAAATAACACTCATGTTTCTTGTTCAGATGATGCTAATTCAATTACCTATGAGGAACTCAAAAAACATTTCGGAAAGAAACTTGAAGATGTTGCACAAATTTTTTGTGGTAAGCTAACACACTAATTGAATTTGTTTCTTTTAATCTTGCTCTTACTATTTTTCAATTTTTGAGTTTCTTCTTGTAGAAATAATAGATTGTTTTTTAGCAAACTATTTGAGTTTTTGTTATTGAATTCTTATTTTTGTAGTGAGCAGATCTACGTTTAAGTGTATATGCAGAAAGAAAGGAATCCGTGCTGGAAACGAGGCAAAAGAAATAAGGTTAACAACTCTCCTTCTAGACGATACGTACACTCCATCTTTTGAGTTGCCTGCTGAGAAGCTCATAACACCACCACCAGAAGCAAGGACAGTAACTACAAGGCAATCTATGGAGACAATAGGATTAAGTTTCAATTACCTTTTTCATCAAGAATGGTGGAGCTGGAAGAGGAAGTGTTCAATAGCTTGAAATTAAATGTTAGAACATATAAGATCAAATATATAGATGATGATGGCGATCGTATTTTAATAACTCGTGACAAAGACTTACAGGATTGTATTAGTGCTTCCAATTCATTGGGCATGAATACAATCAAAATGTTCATTGAGCCAATTACCAAAATATCTCCTTCAACCTGACTAATTATGCATGTATATTCCTCTCTATGTGTTGATATCAATCTATTATCTATCCACGGTTCTAGTTCCCAAGGACATCATGAATATAAATAATCAAAATTCTCTTCAATATGCATTTATGTAAATTCTCTCTTTTCACCAAGAAATATATATGAGCAGTTTCTATGTCCTAGTTCTCACTTTGTTCTCTAGGATTGTTGCGTCTTCTACTTGTTCAGTTCTGGATTTCAAAGAGAAGGCCTTACTGGAATGTAATATGTATGTTCAAAGCCAAAGAAACAACTTCCTGTTTTGCAGATCGAATACAGTATGTTGTGTATATGTTCATGACATAAATGATACAGTTGTTTTGCCTCTACTTCTCATGGGAAATGAATACACTAGTGTACCTCAAATGATTCACTTGTTTCTTCTCTGGAGTTGGCATGTCAATCAAGTATAGAATTGGAATGTATCAAATACATTTGCAGTTCCAAATGCTCTGGTCAAAACCACAAGAACCGTTAGGCGATAAAACTCCTCCCAGAATCTACTAGTTGTACAAGCACACCATGTTCTGTTCTTGCACCTAATTTGGATGTATCAAATACATTTGCATGGTTTCTTCCACAACTTATAACTGGGTGTAAGGTGAAAGACATGACCGTGGTTGCTTCAACAAATTTGCTTTGTCAAGGTGACAAATTAAACCAGGATATCATTGACCGGAAAAGAGAGGACCTGAGTGTATGTATTTCATGTTAGGTAGTTGAACGAGTCCCACATCGGTTAGAAAATAAAGAAATGTGGGACTTATATGGGCAAGGATCATTGCGCTTAGCATGTTAACTATTTTGAATTCGATATCCACAAGCCCAACCTTCCAAAAGAATCTTGGGAACCTCCTAATCGGGTTAGATGTGGTTTCTGGCATTGATATTCTAATTTAGTTTTGGCCACCTATCACAATAGGAGGAGGAGGGAATTTCCTTGTAACATTAATTTTCTCATTTGCTTTAGTTATATGAATTTACTTATTAAACCTAACAATTATATTGTTCTCATTTTAGCTTTAATTTTTCATCAGTCAATTTGTCTCTTTCTCTATCTATTTGTCTATCTTTAAGTATAAACATATAAAATTGTTTGAAATATTATATTTCTAGCAATATTCAATGAGTTATGATAGAGAATCCGAATTCTCTATCATTTTCGATAGGCCACACCCAAACCTTCTAAATCTTTCATGAAGTTGTAATATTTTGTTGTACTATTTGTTAACTTAGTAGTTTGAAAAATCACCAATTTTTTTGTTTTCTGGAAAATCAATAACTTCTATAAAAGGAAAAGAAATTAGAAACCTACCAGAAACACAAAACAAAGGAGAGCAGTCCAAGGACAAGCTCAAATACAGTGGCGCAAACCCACAAAGCCCAAATCCCAGCCCACACATAACCCTTAAACTCCATGTTGCCGCAACAATGACGTCATCCTTGAACTTAGAGAGGTTGATTGACGTCATCCAAGTTGGTAAACTCCATAGCTGGAATGTAGTTGCCACCATAGATTGATTGTTAGGATTCCAAATGTAATAAATCATACTTTTTGGGAAAAAAGCTTCTTTCTTGTCTTTCTGTTTTTTTTTTTTACCTCCCCTCTTTTGAAAGTATTTTGTAACATGTAAAGTGATAAAGTAATAAATTATACTGAGAGCTGATATAGTCTTGTTTTCATAAATTTTTTTTTGATGGGGACAAGTTCACACAATCACAATTATAAAATAACACATAGAGAAAATTAGAATAACAAAAAGTTTATCGATGCTAAACATAAATAACATAAAATTGGAATCACATATAAAATAATGGAAAATGATAACCAACACAAAATATAAAACTTTCCAAATCTATGTGATTGGTCTGCGTCAAATAATTAAAAAGAATAAAAAAAGTTTATGTATAACAAAAAGGAAAAAAATACAAATAAAAAAAGAAAGAAAATTTGCCTTCATCCTCTTTCTTTACAAACTCGGTAACTCGTAAAAAAAGAAAGAAAAAGGTGCTGCGTTTTGGAGGTAAGACTATTGATTTTACAATTTCAAAACCCTAGGGACCTATGCTACAGATAAAAGCCCTGATTTTATGTGCAAATCTCTAGTTATGATGTTCTATAATTTTGTAAATTGTAACTGTATGTTATTTGTTTCTCTTTCTTCTTCATCACCAAAATTCTAAATTAAAATACAAAACATAATATAAATTAGTAAATCATTACTTAAGTCCTAAATGCAAAATTCAACACTTCAAAAAGATAATAAAATTTTAGATTATTTTTTTTGGAGCCATATGTAATAGAGCGCTCTCTCCAACTCTAATTACGGAGACTCTTTAATTTCGCGTCTGTGAAGAAAAAGAAAGCAAACAATCTTTTATTTTTTTTTCTTTCAATTATACTGCCTCATAACTCTTTATATTTTTTTAACATTAATGATGTGGCTTCGGAAACTTTTAATGACTTTTGGCGTTTTCTATTTGGCGTTTTCTATCATTGCTCTAAAATAATATTTGTAAATAGACCCTTTTTTTTTTTTGGCTCTTCTTCTCGCATTTCTACCTGCGGCGACCCTTTTGATAATGTGTGAACCTTCTAAGCCCCGAAGTCGACAAGAATAACCTTCTGAACCTTGGAATGGTTCACCTTCTGAAATCTGAACCTCTCGGAAAATGGTTCATCATCATTTTCCTTTTTTATATATTGATGATGATTTTATCTTTACCAGGTATTGGTGGAGATGGCAAACCCTCCCTACCATCGATCTTCATTTTGACAACCGTGTTGCTGAAAAATATCGATCAGACGATCTCGACGATGATAAAGAAGAACAAACCCTCAACAATTCCAAGGAAGATATAGCCAGTGCAGTGTCTTTCCGGCGCAGATCTCGAAAAACCAGATTTGGGCGTTTTGGTCCGAGCCCACTCTCTCTGCTTCCAGTAAGCGTCTTCTCTCTCCGTTAATTTCTCACTTCATTTCTTGTTGTTATTGTTTTCTATTAACAGAAAAAATATCAATCTATTTGCCGTGGAGATTTAATTAAGGAAAGAAATTCAATCGCTAGGTTACTGGAAAACCCCTATATATATTTATATAATAATAATAATAATAATAAGATTCTTCCAGCAAATTACATGAATTTCAACATTGTAGAGTACTCACAAACCCACCATCAATCAAGGGATTACATAGGAGTGCGATTGTACACCACTTCAATTGGATGATGTTTTAATTCAGTTTTGGGCACCCATAAGAACAGTACAAGGGTGTTTACAGCTTGTAACTTCAGACCAACCTTTTGGTCTTACTCATCTTGATGAAGGACTACTCAAGTGTAGGAAGAACTGATTGGAATATAAATTTAATGTGAATGGGGATGAATAAAAACACCTTGGAATCCTTGGCGTTGCGTTCAGCCAAAAAATGGCGTTAGTGTATTCCACATTAAATTTATATTCCAAACAGTGCTTCCTATAAGTGTATTGCAAAGAGTATCCACAGCCCAACTTCGCTCTAACTTATCGTATTTCGGCTTCTTCTACTTTCCCAGTGATTCACACCTCTTTCAAGGAATGCCTCGGAGTTCTTGAGTTTGTAATTAGTACAGATTTCAGAGCTTTAAATAATATGCGTGATTGGTTTGGTTGAAACCCCTAATTTTTATTTATATTCTTCTAATTAATTATTAATTTGAATTAATTATTACTTTGATGAGAAGATGATATATGAATGCATCATATTTGTAGAAGATATATATATATATATATATATATATATATATATATATATATATATTAATTTTCCTTTTCATTAAATTTAACATTACAAAATTATTCACTTCTCCTTTAGGATGTAGATCTGAAAGGTTCTCTCTGTGAATTTTCAAATCGCTTGGCAAGTTACAGGTGTAATATGCAAATGTGACTTATATATGGTGTTCTTTTTTCCTTATTTTTATGTTTTTGGTACTATTTTCTCATTAACAAATGTCTATATTAACAGATGAAATCTGTAAAGGGTTGATGAAGGACTGCTCATGTATGGGAAGCACTGATTGTAATATAAATTTAATGTGGATGAGGATGGGATGAAGAACACCACCTTGGAATCCTTGGCTGTTTGTTCAGCCAAAAATGGCACAGAGTGTATTCCACATTAAATTTATATTGCAAACAGTGCTTCCTTTAAGTGTATTGCAAAGAGTACCCACAGTGCAATTTCGCTCTAGCTTGTGGCATTTCGGCTTCTTTTGCTTTCCCAGTGTTTCACAACTCTTTCCAGGAAATGCCTTGGAGTACTTGAGTTTGTAACTAGTACAGATTTCAGAGCTTTAAACAATAGGCGTGATTGGTTTTTGAGGCATGCGGTCAAGGTTTGTCAAAACCCCAAATTTTTACTTATATTCTTCTAATTAATTTCATAAGAAGATGGTATGATTGCTATCATATTTGTAGATGATATATATATATATATATATGAAATTTTATTTTCATTAAATTAACCTTACAAAATTGTTCACTTCTCTTCACTTGCTGGATGTAGATCTGAAAGGTTCTCTCTGTGAATTTTCAATTCGTTTGGCAAGTTACAGGTGTAATATGCAGATGTGATTTATATATGGTGTTCTTTTTTCCTTATTTATATGTTTTAAGTACTATATTCTCATTAACAAATGTCTATACCACACCACACTTAGCAATCCAGATTCTCTATGAAGGTTATCAAAATGCACTTGGATGAAATCTGTAAAGGGTTGAAAGTGGTGTGCAGAACTGACAAGTTACCTTTGGCTCACACGGGGACTCTGTGCGGCCATTACTGTGCCTGTAAGGGACAAGTCTTGCACCTTCAAAGGTCATCCTATGTTGGAGATGATAATAATCTTCTAGTGAAATTCTTAGGAATCTGTTGGCAGAATGACTTACAAAAGGGGCTGGGAGTTTTTGCTTTTTAAGGGTTTTCATGCCAAATGCATGTTGTTTAACTGTCCAGATCATATATAGATATAAATCTTTTGTTTTGGTTATTGATTATTTTTTTAATCGTTATGATTTGCAATATATAGAAGAACATTGCCCTCTTTTTGGTGTCTAGAAGTTGCACTGTGTTCATGATATAATCTAAGAATAGAGGATTTTATCACAGCGGCTTACTTTCTGTGGTTTGTCAAATTGTTGCTTAATTTAGCACTTTCTATATCCAAGCTCCCACTTTGTTCTCTAGGATTGCCAAGTCTTCTACTGTTTTAGTTGAAAGAACATTTTTATTTGAAAGAGAAGACCTTGTTGAAATGTAATATGTATGTTCAAAGGGAAAGAAGCAACTTCCGTTTTTGTAGGATACAGCCCATTTTGTGTGTGTTGCCATGACATAAATGATCCAATTGTTTTGGCCTCGACTTCTCGTGGGATATGAATCCACTATACCCCAAATGATTTATTTGTTTCTTCTATATGGAGTTGGCATGTCAATCAAGTAGAGAATTGAAATGTATCAGCGGTTCCAGATGCTCTTGTTACGACTGCAACAATCATTAGGCAACCGAACAACTCTGAGAATCCACTAGTTGTACAAGCTCACACTATGTCCTGTTCCTATACCTAACTGAACAAGCATGGTTTCTTCCACAACTAAGTACTGGGCCTAAGGTGAAAGACATGATCATGAAGGCTACGTACAGAGAAAATATTGTAAGGCTTCTACTTTATTTTAATTCTAGTTGCTTCAATAAATTTACTTTGTCAAGGTGACTAATTAAACCAGTCATGTTGAAATAATGCTAGTATAATTCCGTTTAGTCTGGGGATATTGTTGACTGAGAAGAGAGGAACTGAGTGTCTCTCCCAAGAGGTCAGGCATTGGAATTTGAGGAAGTTCCCAATCCTGATTGACTGATCGCGCGCGCACACACACACACACACACACACACACACACACACACACACCATGTATTATGAGGAAAAAATGTGTAGACATGATGTTTATATTCTTCCCTTTGACACAAGTTTTTTTCTTTTCTTAATTGGTGTTCTATTAAAGAAAGATCAAGCATTACAGCGCACAGAGGGCATACCCTCAAAGAAGAAGTAAATAAATTCCCCTCCAATAATGAGAAGGCCCATTTCCAGTACATCTAAAAGTTTATATTTCAATTTTCAGTATAGCAAAGTCATATTTGATTGTGACCAAAAACAATTGTGGGGAAGATGAGGTACTGACTATATTAATGAGGAACAACCATGTGAAAGTTGAATTAATATTCATTTTCTTCGAGTTCAAACATAAGTTTCATTACTCTTGGTGCTTTGTAGAGAGCTACGATCTTATTGGTAATGAATATTCATTTGCTTCGAGTTCAAACATAAGTTTCACTACTCCTGGAGTATTGTTGAGAGCTACGATCTTGTCACTTACTGATATGCATGCGTTGTGGCATTAATAAAAAAAGGTGTCATTGTGGAGCATGGTTGATCATATGATTGATTTGTGAATTAGAAGAGAGGGCAGAAAATAGGGAGTGTGCAATTAGAAGGAATGACATTGCCCCATGCTATGTATAATGATTATAGAAATAGATGGACTTTGTAAAGATCTTTGTGGTTTCTTCATTCCTCCCTTTTGATTGCACTGAAACTTAAATAGTAAAATCTTTTGTTTTAAGACCTGATATTTTGTTTGTTCAGTTAATTTTTTTGTTGTAGAAATTACTTAGTTTGGGTTTGAGATTAGTTGTTTGTGTATCATATATGAAGATATCATATAGTATCATTTTTCTGTCCTTTTTTTACTTTTGATTTGGTGATATTACTGAAATTTAATAAACAAATTTACTTAAATGCAACTATAAAATAATTTGCGTAGTTACAGCTAACAGCATATTTGATGGTTGTCTGAATCTTATTTTCACTGTGTCGTATATTTGTTGAATTTAGCTTCTTCTTCGTTGACTTTAGTTGAAATGTTAAATGTTCTGATTGAGCTGCCTGGTAAAAGTACTGGTGACAGAAACTTGGTGTTGTCCATCTTTTTCGCTAAAAGATCCTTGTTTGCTAAAATACTATTTCACTCTAAACTGTTCCCCTGTTAGTTTGAAATTGTTTGGCTATAGAACGCCAATTGTTTCAATTGGCTGTTGAATAAAATAAACTGAAATTTGGTGGCAATTTCAAACAATGCTATGTTGGTGAGTATGTGGCCTTACAAATACGTGAATGCCAGCAATCTGCTCTTAAACTTGATTTTTTTTTTTTTTTTCCCCCACAAGTTGCTTTGTGAGTTTATTGAGATGTGCTTCACTAAAATGCTCCTTGAGGTTATTTTATTGCATCTTTCCATCTCAAATGATGGGGTTGATGGATACAGAAGCTTGAAGGTCCCAAAGACGCCTGCCTGAGCGTTTTGTTCTGTTAACATACTGAGAATTAATTTTTCATTGATATCTTCTTGTTCAATATTTCAAAATGCAGGGAAACGGAAAAGCATTTTGTGCTCGTGGTTGTGTTAGGGCTGCAATTTATACCATAAGTACTGCAGGTAAATGTTACCCTGTTAGCTACTACGGAGTATATTTTTATGGCTTTGAAAGCATCTCGATTTCATAATTTGCCTAAACACGCATGATAAGGAAAACATAACCATGATTTTGAATACTTGTGAAAGTGATTCTTTAAAATAGTAAATGCATGCAGAAAATTGTTCTGCTTAATTCGACATTTCAAGAAACATAAAAATGTATACAGCTCACCTGGATTACTTTACTAAAATGGACCAGGGCACTGGTGGAGCTTTACCGCAGAGTTTTTTTCTTTTCTTCTAGATGGTGCGTCTCTGGATAATAAATGCTGGAAGAGGAGGTGTGCGGGAGGCTGGAAGTTATACGATCAAACGTAAAGAATGCGACGATCAGATCTTGATAGCCTCCAACGAGGACATTGTATTGCCATGCTCTTCTTTTTTTCCTTGTATCTTCCCTTTCTAATATTTTGTAAACTGGAAAGTTTGAAACACCACCATTGTTATTGGAGCTATATATAAAAAAATAAAAAAATACTAAAAAACCTTTTCATATTCTGATTCCATGAAAATAGAGTAAATAAATTAATAAAATGTGATTTATTTATTCAGGCTAACAATTCCAGTTTATTACACAAACGCAATTAGTTATTTAGGGGAACGCTTCAACAATTACCCCCACACAAAATCGTGTCATGTTGAAAACATCCTAAAATAGGAAATTCAGATTGGGCTTGGGTTCAAACTTTTTGTCCTGAGCCCATCTGGGTTGGGCTTAGGGTAGAAAGCTCCCGAACTCAACCCAACCAACCCGAAATACATATTACTCCATTCAACTTACTGAACCCCAAATTACAGAACCCTAAATTACAGAAGTGAGAGAACCTGACAAGATCGCCATTTCATTGAGAATCCTAAGCCGTCACTTACGCCAACATCTGGCCAATTCTAGTTTTGGATTTTAAAATCGTGTCCGGGTTGGCAGGTAAAAACCCGCAGTTGGTTCGAGTTTGGAGCAACCCAAACTACCCAAATTCAGGTTGAGGTTGCACCCGGGTTGGGGCTATCCAAATTTCACCCTAGCTATTTCAGTCTTAAAATTAATTGATTTTGTTTTAAAAAGTATTTTATATATTGATTGGACTTTATTTTTCTTTGAATTCCTTACCAGGAACACTTTAATAATCTCACATTAAAATTTAATAGAGACTAGATGATGTTCTCAAGGGCGGGCGAATTTGGCCCAATTTTGAAGGACTGACAGCGAGGTTTATACATTGGACAGGAGTAGATATATTGTGATGTATTATGCATGGGGATGTCAACGGACGGAGTTGGGACGGGTTTAGCTAAATCTTTTTCCGTCTTGTTAAAAATTTTATCATACCAACTCTGGCCCTACTTCGGAACTGATTTGTAATTATTATATCATCTCCATCCTTATTTCTGTAGACAAAGTATCGACTCTGCCCCATTTACTCAGTTTAATTGCGAGGCGCAATAGGGTAGGTCGGGTTATGCCACTTTTATTATGCAGTAAAAAACAAAAAAAAAAAAAACTAGCTCAATGTGTTCAAATTGGGCTAATAAATAAATTAACCTAACTTTTAAATTACTAAATAATAAATATTAATATATTAACGAGCACTTCCAATAAAGTAACAAGAGTCTTTAAAATATTAAATATATATATATATATATATATATATATATATATATATATATATATATAAAAATTAAAAGGAACATATATAATTGGGGGGGAGTCGGGGTGGGTTCATCACTAAATCCGCTCCCGCCCCAAACTTGCTTTTTGATTTTTAATTATTTTACTATATTCATTCCAAACTCATTTAGGGGAACACCAAATCCACCCCATTAAGAATGAGGGTTGGGCAAAAACCTGCAGGTCGGAGGAAATTGCCATCCCTAATTATGCTTATACAGAATATATATATATATATATATATATATATATATATATATATATATAAAAATTAAAAGGAACATATATAATTGGGGAGGAGTCGGGGTGATTTCATCACTAAATCCGCCCCCGCCCCAAACCTGCTTTCAGATTTTTAATTATTTTACTATATTCATCCCATACTCATTTAGGGGAACACCAAATCCACCCCATTAAGAATGAGGGTTGGGCGAAAACCTGCGGGTCGGAGAAAATTGCCATCCCTAATTATGCTTATACATATAATTTCTGTTGATCTTTTCACGGCAATTATGCGCATATCAACAAAATTAAGTACTTCATTTATTTTTTGGTGTTCAGAAATAATCTTGCTTATATAGCAGTTCTAAACTCTAGAGTTTCTATTAATTTGCACAGTTCTAAAAGTGATCCACATACATATCTTACAACTAAGCAATTTATTTTTTTTATTTTAATAATTACTACTACTACTACTATTTATTTATTTATTATTATTATTATTTAAACTATTTTTTGATAATTTATGAGCTTGCCAAAACTATTTATAGGCATATGAATCTATCAAGCAATAATCAAACAATTTATTTTTGTTATTTTTTTTTTTGGGTATATTATTATTACTACTATTACTATTATTATTATTAGTTATTATTAATATTGTTTATTATTATAGGCAAAATTATAAAAAAAAAAAAACCCATTGAACTATTAGTTAGTTGCGAGATGCCCCTGAATGGTATTCTGTGTATTGTACATTTATGATATTTTATAACTTTTATATAAATTAATAAGGGGAGTATTTTGATAATTTTGACCTTTTGGACGCATGAAAATGAAGTTAGATGATTGAAAGGGGGTGATTTGCAACTTTTGAATAGTTTTGAGTTTGATTTACAACTCAAAATAGTTCAAATTTATTTATTTATTTGTTTTCACTCTCTCGATGATTTTTACCAATTTTGCTTGTAAGTGTTTTAGTCTTTGCTCTTCTTTGTAAAGAAAACATAAAAGTCAAAGAAAATAAAATTTTGAACAACCCCAGCAACCTGAATCTCGGGCTGGTCAACCTGCCCGAGTCCCTCTCCTACGTAATAATAATAGTAGTTGCTTAAATAATGAAGTTCCGAGAGGACATAAACGGTACAATCCAACCCCATCCACCATCTCTATTGACTAATTGGAGAGAGCAACTGATGCTTATATAAATTAATATTTAAAACACTATCATATTCAGAAGTACATAAATTCATATTTACAATGAAACTTCTCCATTGATTTCACCATGTAAATTTAATAACTGACCATTTCATATGTCAGATGGTGGTGTTCCTGGTCATCACTATAGCCATTCGTCATTGACAAAACATCACATACAAAATTTGAAAAAAGAAATGGGCATGCACCAAAGTCAGATTCTCTTGTATGCACTATTTTAACTAAATTAAAAATAATAATAATTAAAAAATGAGTTACCATACACATCAAAATACAATTCATGATCCTTATTTTGAATCTACATAGGCAGTGATGTAATTTTTTCTAATTAAAAAGTCACAATCAGCCATAATGAATGATATTACAATTTTATTTGTCAAAATTCATCACAACCCACTCTTGTTCACTTCACTCTCTCTCTTTCATGCAAATTCGCTCTTTTCGTCTCTCCTTTCTCTCCCTTTCTCCATTCTCTCTCCTAAAAATTTATTTTTAAATTATACGTGACTGTCAAATCACATACCATATCATTATATGAAAATTATTCAAAATATTTATCATTTCTCAAGACTCACATATGTAATTGAAAAAAATAAATAACAAAACAACCAACTAAAAACCCAAAAACAGGAGCAGTCATTTTAATATCTACATATCTACTCTTCCTCTAGGACTTACCCACCAGTATTGTCATCATTATTGGCTAATTATTTTAAAATTAGGATGAAAGAGCACCACCCCACTTCCTCTTTCATCCTAATTTTGACTTTTTTATATTTAAAGTCTGTCTCGAGTATTCATATCTTGGTGAAAGTTTTTAATACATGTTTAGTTTGTTTGAACATAAAATATTTATTATTATTATTAATTGGTCCAATTGTTTTTATATCATTAATAATAATTATTTTACAAAAAATATAAAAAATAATCAATTGATTTTAAAAAATAATAATAATCAGAAAATCAAAACAAGTATCTCTATCATCGAATGCAACAAGTGAGTTTTTTTTTTTTTTTTTTTTCTTTGTTTTACGTATTATTTTTTAAGGTTTAAGAAAGTAATACTACATGTTAATCACTAACCAATAATGATGACAAAAAAATATAATAATAAAAGCAAATTGAAGAAACAAAAAATAAGAAATTGTATGATTGTTGTTAAGGAAGAGATTGGCCTCGTGCCTTTCACCCCATAATAAGTATTAGGTTTATTGACTCTTCTCTTAAGAGTTATTTTGTTTCGAGTCACTATAGTACATATAAAAGTGTTTGCACCATAAAAATAATTTTTTATTTTCAGCCACATAGTGCAAATTAATTGGTTAATTGGCGAATCATCTAGGGGATCTGATAGTGTGTATTAACTTGATGTAATGAAGACACTTGGCACAAGGTGATTATAAAAAGAAAGAGACAACAATTGGGAATTAGTGCTTATGAAGCCCAATTTTAAGACACGAAGCTATGATGATTGCCAAGTCCCTCTCTCGTCACGGTGCATCTCAAAATAGCATACTGGGTACTGGGATTTAAAGGCATCAATTCGTCCCTGTCTTGCAACTGTATTTTCAGGTACTCACCCTTTCTTTCTCTCTTTCCCTCTTCATAAACCCTAACTCTCTCTCTCTAAAAATCACACTGATCTCTGCATATCATATCATTATATTGGAAAAGACAAATCATTTAGAATCAAAAATTCAACATATAAATTTTGTCTGCTAATTTTTCCTTTTTAATTTTCACGCTATTTTGGAAAGAAAATTCGGTTTTTCCGTATAAACCTCTTTTTTTGTTGTAGAGGAGAGGATAAGAAACCAAATTTTGGGTTATTCTAATCTAAATTTAATTTCCTCCCATGGATCAATTTACAATGTATAATATTCACACGGAAAATAAAGCAAATATAGATAATTGATAATCCATGAAGTAAATTAATATGTGGAATGTGAATAATTTATATTTAAGTAAGACAACTTTATATTATATATATGACCAACGATCATTCATTAGATTCTCATTTATTTATTTATTTTTATTTCAAAATATATATATATATATATATATATATATATATATATTAGTTGTCATATGTTTATCATCGTCATGTTTTATGCAATTGCAGTAACAAAACTCATGCAACTTGAGTGTAGTGAGAATTAGAGAAATTAGGTAATTAATAATTAGCACTTGTACATGCGAAGATTTGTCCTAATATCATAGAACTAGATATTAAACAAAACTAAACTTAACAAAGCTAAAATTAGAATTAACCTTCAATTTGATTGCTGGTAAAACGTGGGAAGAGAAAACAAAATTAAAATCTGAATCAATTGGAATTTCATTGTTTAATACCTTTGAGAATTAGCATATCTTAATTCACACTTCTGGCTTG